GGTTTATTAGGTGTGTTGGTGTGATACCTTCAAATTTTGCAGTAGGGATTTATTTTATTTTGGGAAAAGGTCATAGTGAGAGGTTTAACAGCTACTAGATATGGAATTGGGTTCATTCAACGTAGGTCAGTGCAGACAAAACTGGGAGCCAATTTCCGTAACTCTAATAAAAAAAACAATAACAAAGTGCTTCCCTCTAGGAGTGGAGATGCTTAAACTCTTATACAGACTTTACGTGCCACCTTTGACATTTCTTTCTCCAGATTAGAAATATCATCAATTTCAGCAAATATTTTGATTGAATCTCAGAGGCAACTCTGTGAAAACTGCAGTCATCCTTCGGACTAGTTTGACGAAAGTTATTTGATGGAAAGAAGCAAGTCAGATTCATGACCCAAATTTGGATTGATATTATCCTTCAATGGAAAATCTTACTTTCTAATTTAATTTAATTGTGAGCCTAATTTGCTCAGCACATGCAATAAAATATTTGAAATGTTTGGATAATCTCTATTTTAAGCCACCCGCTCTTGAATGCCGAGATAAATTGACCCTGAAAAGCTGACTAGAACACCATAACTGCAGGCACTGGTAATAAACTAGCATGCGAATTCTATTGAAATTGTTACTCATTGTTTTTTTTTAAAAAAATCTGTTTTATTACAAATGCATGCTGAACTTTAAAAATATATTAGAAGTCAAATTCTTTTTCATTTCTTGCCAAATGTTAAAAGTAAAAGGTTCCATATGAATACTGTAGAAACTCGAATAATAAATCAGATGATTCTGGTCCTGTATTTACTTTAAAATGAATCATACAGCAGGCAGTCTAAGTGAATCTATTGTTTAAGGGCTGGTCCTAATGGATAAGGTCTGTTTTATTTTTTTAAATTACAAAATCAAGGTCTTGTCTGAGAGAAGCTTCAGGCGCATTAACCAATGGTAGGAAAGGAATGTCAATTGCAGTTAAATATAAAATGTGCTTATCATAAAATCCAATGGATTGGTTTCACTTGCATGTTATACACTGTCTCTCAAAAGATCAATCATACTGGTACCTAAATTGCACCACCATATTATGGATCAAGGTGCAATTAAGGCAGAGAAATTTAACAGTATTGTAAGACAGCCACACATGGTTAGAGTTTAAATGCTTGTTAAAGATGACCACTGTAAATACTCTGCAAACTTTTACTGCCCACAAAATCTAAACCAATTTAAGCGAACATGAAGCACACTTACAGGGCTGCGTCAATGGTTCAGTGGGTGAATGTACTGCATCGTGCGGCAAAGGACCATACAGACTAGGAGGTCTAGGTTATATCCTTGGTCTGAGCTGACTTTGTTGATTTCTGTCATGAAAGTGGAAGGGAAAATCACACCATATTTCCCATTTCTGGTTGCCGTCCTATGATCCCTTCATGTTACTGTTACTTGAGAATGAGCCTTGCCAATAAAACACTTGTTGTCTGCACTCACACAAGATGAAGAACTTGGTCCTATTTCAGAAAACTAACAACAATTCATATAACTGTGTATTCTTTGATAACAGCTAGATACACAGCATGGGCATACTGGGCAATAATATGTATTTGGACTGATACAGTTTGCAGAACAGCTTGGATCCACAGTAAATCTGCTCACTAAACTGATGTGAAACTAACAACTCTCTTGTGCATTGTTCTTGGACATTGGCATTCAGAGCTCCCTCGAGTTCTCTGAAGGTCTTTCAATGGGATGTTTTGGGACCTTTCATTTCTCCTATAGCTATGGTATCTCTGATTCAGAGTACCACCTGTGGAATATCCTTCCAAACTTTGGCAATACGTACTTTCAGATCTACAAATAGAATAAAGTGAAGTATTTTTATAATACAGACTATGGTAAATTATCATTCAGTGCTGCAAAAACACTTGTTAATTATAATACATATTGTTTTAGTTGTAACCAGAACCTCAATTGCTATTGGAAACATAGAAAAACATAGTCAATATTTTTTTTATTTATTTAGAAATATTACATATGTTTGTCGTGAAGATAGCTGCGCTGACGAATGCACTGCTTCGAAAGTACAAGTAAAAACTCACTTGACTTGAAATTCCATTTTGTATGTATTTTCAAAGCTTTCATCATAGTACCTGTTCACTATACTAAATGTAATTTGATATTGTTGTTGCATGTTAAATCACTTATAGTTGTATTTTATCCTGTGGATCCTGTTACTCATTATGTATGTAAGTAAGAAGAGGACACTTTGTGTTCTGAAGTGTCCATTCTGGATAATGCACCAATATAATGTGTCTGATAGGTTTATTGCACAAATCATACCATACAATAATATGGGAAAAAAACATTAGTGCCTTCACATACATGAGTGTTCCATGCACACTTGTTTTCTATTTTTTTGTTTCTCCAAGGTCGGCCTGAATTGTATTGGTTTAGTTGCTTGCAACTAAAAACACCAACATGCAACTAATCAGAATATGTAGTGTGACTTACATTAGTTGAACAATGATAACCGCTTATCAAGGTACTTGTCCACTAAGGACAGTATATCAGTTTGGACATTTTGGCTCTCAGGAAGGCAAGTCCACACAGGCTCATTTGTAACCATTTACAAAGTCTAGAAATACTGACCTTCTTGAGTAAACATGCTTGCACAAAATCAGTTCAACATTGTTAAAAACATTTTTTTAAAAAAGACATGATACATATTTTATTAGTCCATAATGGGTGAAACTTTGAGTGGATCCGCTAAGATATGAATGTTCTTATTCCAGCTCAACAGACTGAGCTATTTGGGATGTTCTTCAGTTAAATGGATATGCTTTCCCTTCCAAGCAATTATCTTGATTGCTGTTTATAACAAAGTTAGCTATGTATCAGAATTTGTTAATTGGCATCCATATGGCCCAAAGCAGCCAAAAGAGTTGGACAATCATTTTCTCCTTTGTGGATTTGGATACATTTGTAGCAGTTGGAATGTAAGCCTCAAATTACGTGCAAACAGATTTATAAGGATCTGTAGATGTCAATATGAGTTTAGTGGTCATCAATATGTTGTGACAAGCCTTGAAATCTTCTGGCAGTCTTGACAGCCAGACCGTTGCATTGGACAAGGCTTTGCATCATTTTGCAGAATAGAGTTAATTACTTTGGGAATATTTTTGTCATTGCTCAATGCTGCGGTAGCACAGAGCGCAGAGATTAAAGAATGATAACATGCAAGGATTGTTTTAGGGATGGATCAATTTGTATTAAAATAGAATTCTTGCTCGGCTTCCCGAGGACAGTACTTCCAGCTGGTGGTTCAAATTTCACAATGGAAACCTGAAATATTTCCAGCTGAATATCTCCAAAGCTGTATAAAAATGTCCCCAGCATCTGATGGCTGACTGCCAGAGACTATGCACAAAAAAATCGTCCTCTAGTGCTTACAGATACAATTTGGATTTGAATCACAATCAGTATAAATTGTAGTTTGTCTATTTAACTCTGAGGTGCTAAGTGTACAATCAGGTTGTAGTTGTGTCTCAGAAAAGAATCTTCTTATTTATTTCCATGGAAGCCACTCACCATTAGGTGTATAATAATCGTTTGATAGATGTATCATGTGGTAGTCCACACCATCATTCCCATTGCAGTAAATCTGAATCGTGCATTGTTCACATTAGCTGCCAGAGTCTCAACAGTGTAAATATTGTATTTTAAGATTGTTCAACAGTTCATGACTGTAAATTTAAAACCAGATTTTTCCAAGTGGATATTTTTGCTTTTGGGGCCAAGGAATGCTTTGTACAGGCACCTAATCAGTGTGATGTTCAGCTATACACATTACTTTACCGGTGCCACTGAAGTCTATATTATGGATTTTCGGGCTGATTTTGTCCATTGCTGTTGAAGTTCTGGTGCAAGGGTGGGGTAAGAAAGAAAGTGCACTGCTCTAAGACTCATTATGATATTCTGCCAAACACAATGAAACAATCCTGCCCTTGCCCGGGTTGTACAAATTTCAATGCAGCACATGATCCTCTCATAGATACTGATTGTAAGGTAGTGTGTACATTGGAATCTACCATACACTGATCATAAACTGCCACATTCCATTGCTCTATTTTTAATCGATCAATGTATGTTTGTACTTTGGAATAGGAGCAGTTCTAGTCCTGTCCTTTTTTAATCAACTTGAAGGGTGACCACTCCCCTTTCAGAGAGGTTTCAGGTCTGCTCCTTTGTTGAAACAGGCTCTTCCGAATGTACGTTTCATGTCTGTTTTGAAGCATTGGAGGCATCACGATCCGTCAAGATCGGAAAGCAAGAGATAAACCGCTTGTTGGTGTACAACAAAGCAACAGATGGAAAGGGGATCAATCGCAGATGGGTACTGGCTCCTTGAAGGTATAGTATGTAGATTACGGGTACACAGTACTACTCAAGAGTTGTAAATATCTGTTTTTTAGTCCTACGGGGCTAATAATTCCTTCAAAAAAAATCTAAGTTGGTCACTCAATCCATGACTGTTGGTGGGGCACTACTGTGCACAATTGGCTGCCGGGTTTCGCCCACAAAATATACAGTTAATTCATTTTACAGTATATTCTGTGAAGCGCTTTGAGATGTCTTGAAGACGTGATAAGGTTCTCTATCAAATGCAAAGATTATTATTACTAAACATCTTCTTATTCTCTACATTCAACATTATTTTTTAAAAAAGACACCAAACACATAAATTGTGAACCGGTGATCCTAACTGAATTTAGCACATTAGCACAGATTTGCTGTGTAACCAGTAGTATTGCAGTATGAGGTTAACTGTACTGCAATAATACTACTGAGCATCAACAGTATGTGAGACACCTGCTGTAAAAAAAACAAGCAAAAACTATCTAACATCTCTTCTCTGGGTTGTCTGGTTTTCCTTCGAGTTACATTTTTATTCAAAAGAATGACAACCTAGATGAGCGTTTCCTCAGCCCTAATGCGAAGAGACAGGACTGTACCTTGATATACGACCTCATGGAGAAGAGGTTGGCCAGCATTGTAGAGAGGCCTGGAGCCAGGCAGCTTTGAGCTATAAAACCCAGCTTCAGTTCAGCAAGGCAGATTGCATCATCCCCTTCCTTCCAGTTCCAGCTGGGAATGTTCAACAGATGGGCCTGATACCATGGAAAGAGAGGAACAAAAAAAAGTTTAAAAAACTCAATCCACACATTCTGCTGTATTGATTTAACAAGACATCTTGAAATATTCACAACGCTCGATGAGATCACAACAAGCATCTTTGTTTTTCTTTGCAATCTTTATGCAACAAGAGGCACTTGAAAAATCACACAACCAACATTCTGCAGTTAAATCTGTATTCACATCTGTTGTCAATTCGTCCGTGGACTCCCCTGAGCACCTCAGATGTTATTCACTAAATGTTTTGTTTATTTTTTCATTATTACTACAAAAAATGCCGACAAAGCATTTTTGTCCTGCAATGAACTGCAAAGCTGTAGGGCAGCTGCAGCATATCCACTGCGAGAGACAGAAACCACACTTAACAAAGCTTGCATTCTGTTCTCACTGCACTGGAGCTGACAGTGCAATGTTTTATCAACTGACCTGTAGGTATGCACCTAGATTTTAAAAGCAAGAGATATATATTTTTATAATGTAAGGTAAAATGCTGTATGTATAACTATGGGTGCAAAATCTGAATACAGTAATAAAATCAAGTTGAGTCACCTCTGTCAGTGGCATTCTGCTAATGTCTATTAAAGGAAAATAAACAAGTTTAGGCCCACAAAGGCAAAATGAAAGAGCGCAACAAAAACATTTTTCCTAAATTGGTGTGGAAGGAAAGCTCAGATCCGAGCTATTTTCACACCTCCATTTGACCCATGTCTCAGCGATCGAACACACAACAATGTTGTGTTGAGAAACATATTGGGAGTAGCAGACAATTGCATTCCATGATGTTCATTTATCCAGCAATAATTTAATTTATCCTGTAACAACCTCAAAGATCAGTGCACACACTGAGGCAAGACACTTAGTTTCGCTGGTGTCATGTGTTAGCTCCAGGCACTGTGGAAGTAACAACGTTCGCAACATTTGAAGCAACTGTTTCAAACAGCTTCTGCTCTTTAAGCAAAGCCCAAATACTGCCTCATGGAGGAAGAGAAGATGGTGAAAATCCACTAGCCGATTAATAAACCTGCTAGCCAGTCAACCAGAAGCCTCAAATTCTGCCTGGGCTTAGCCTGCAAAACCATTTTGTCTAAACAAAGAGCCCAGATTGTGGAAGATTCTTAAATTTAGTCTCAACTTGTAAGCCAGATCTTTTGAAGAAATGCAGAAAATAGATTTCTATCCTGAGGCAGACTTGAGGGAGGAATTCTGGGCCTCATGTCGCCTCAATGGCAAGCTATGCGGTTTTATCTGTACCCCAACACACACTCTGGGGTCCGCAAACTATGGCTCTTGTTAACCTGCGCCTAATATCTCTGGAATTTCCATGTGTAGGTAGGACATGTATGGAATTCTAAGCTGGTTTGGGTACTTTTAAGCATGGTGATGGGTTTCCACGTGTGTCAGACACCCAGCTAACCAGAAACATTTTTTTTTGCCGGTGAGCTTTACCGTGAGAATGAAAACGTTTTCCTGATTAAAGTTGTCAATGCTGGGAAGTGAATAGACGTTATAGAAATATCTGTGGACTAGTTCAAATAATGTGATAATTCTCAGGAAGTCATATTCCTTAAAAATAATTATCTGTTTAGCCATATCGTTCACATGGTAGAGCCACACTGACCCACAGCATGTTGTATGTGCTTCATTTAATGCCATGTTCTGTGAGATGAGCCCAGGGGGAAAACAGCTTCTGTATGTACAAGTAATGGATAGTAAAAGTCTCCGAGGAACACTTCCTCAGAAACATGTATGAAAGAAAAACATGAGTGTTGCATTTTTGTCTTAAGATGATTAAATCTAATTCCGTGATACAGTGCCAAGAATTCGTTGGGAGGGTGAATGGAAAGGGAACATCAGAAAATGATATTCATGAGTACCAGCAAACTGCCAGCGGTAATAATAATAATCCTTGCATTTGATACAGTGCTTCTCACGTCTTCTAGACATCTCAAAGTGCTTCATAGAATATACTGTGAAGTGAATTGACTGTATATTTGTGGGTGAAACGCGTCAGCCAATTAGCGCACAGCAGTGTCCCACAAACAGTTGTGGATTGAGTGACCAAATTATTATTTTTGGGAGAAGTATTATTTTTTGCCATTGACTGCAATGTATCTAAGATGGTACATCTTAGCATTGGTCTGTAATGCGCTAATAATTAACTTTGCAGAGATTCTTCCAAAGCATCCATTCAGGGACTCCTGCAGTGGCACAGTGGAGATCAGGAACTCTCTGTGCAGTGGATGGAGGCAGCTGATAGAACTTTAGACCAGATTCTATGTCAATCTACATAACTGGCATCCAAGCACTCAGTGGTAAGGTTGAAACATCAATATGCTCCTAGCATTTTACTAAATAAACATCATCCAGCAGCATCAAATCTCTCTGGAAAGCTGTTTAGTTTACCACGACAATTCATATTGTTAGTTGTGGTAGCCGCTCGTGGCAAGCAGAAGAGTAGGGCAGCAGAAAATACAGAGTTCAAGAGGTGCTAGGGATTTGAAGGGAATTTAAAGGTAAGGACGTTGGTGTCAATCCATTGGTAAACAAGTGGAGCTTGGCGAGGACCCGGGTGATGGGCAATTGAAGTTTAGTACGGCTGAGGATACAGGCAGCAAAGTTTTAAATCAGCTAGAGCTTATGGATGATGGAACCAGGGAGACCAGTGAGGAGTGTGTTTAATACGTTCAGCTTTAAAAGTTTCAGAAATCAGGCAATTTTTTAGACAATTCCAAACACAAATATAGACAGGTAAATACAATTAAACGAAAGTGCCCTGACCTTGTTGTGATACTGTAACATCTGCGTAATGATTCTTATCTTTGGATGATAGTTTTTGATGGATATTACCCTAAATGAGAAAGAAACATTCATTAGGAGCTGGATGCTTTTTGGAAAAAAACATATGTTTAAGCTAAAACAATGAATAATAATCAAATCTCAAAAAAGTATCAATTTCCACATGTATTTATCAGCGGTTTGAGGCATTTTTAAAAAAATGTTTTGATGAATTGTCCATTCATCAGAGCAATCAGAGCTTTTAAATAAGTTGGGAACATTCAAGGCAGAAAATAAGGACAATTTTGAAAATGTACATATGTATATGTGAGAGCAATTCAACAAAGCCTTCCTGAGAAGCAGGATGTGGATAAAATCCTTACAGCCCAGTTGCAAACTACATTTCAAAGGAACCACAAACAAGGAAGGTGTCCCTTTCATGAGTTGCAACACGATAAGGTTGAAACATGCGTCACAAACAACTCTTGGGATTCCATTCCAAAGCACCAGAAGCAGATCTCCTACATCCTGTATATTCATTGTATTGGTATCAAAACTCATTCCAACTTGTTCTTTCCCAGGACCTTAAAGCTGTGGATCTCCTTACCTCTTTCACTATCCTTTCCCTTCTACAATCTACAGACTTTTAATACCCATGTTTGTTACAACCTAACCTTTTTATTTATCTCATCTTATGCCCAGGTTTGTCAGTAGAACAACTTTGAAATCCCAGACATATAAAACAAGGAATTCCTTTCATTGCCGTGTTCAGTGACTTTGACTGGTTTGAGTGTTTGTGTTTTCTATTGGGGTTTTCCCATTCTAAGCACACATTCCTCAAAGTCACCCATACTCAGTGACAAGAAGAATTACCCCCCCCAACCCCACAATCTCCGCACTCACAAAATAAAAGTTAAGAAAACTCTCAATTAACGAACATGTATTTGAATAATTGCTGGATATTGAATGAATGGGAAATACTGGGAGTTCTGCCCAGAGCCTTCATAAACCAACTATGAACTTAAGTTTCACCAGTTACTAGACATCCTTCCCTACTTACCTCATGATGTTAGAGGCATCCTCTGCATCAGGATCTCCACAGTATTTATTAGTCAGAATAAGACAAGCATCTGCTGACTCTATCTGAGACGTGGAAAACACAAAGAGAAAGTGAAAAGGGGACAAAGCAGATGGAGAGCACATATATAAATACTATACTAGCATGCTAAAAAATATCTTCATTGAACATTGTCATTTACGATAAATTAATGCTTTCAAGGGAGTTTTTTGATTTTTAAAAAAAAATATATTTTATCCAAGGAAATGGTTTTAATAAGTTAGACATGAGAAACCTCCACAGAGAGAACAAATAAAACAGCACCATCCCCACCAAAAATACATACAACCAATAAGGTCAAACAATACATTTAAAGAAGGATCAACGCTTTCTCCATTCTGCCCATTTCAGGAAAGTATCTTCCTGTGCTATACCTATTTCCAAGAGAAACTAGAATTCAACTGCTTCAAATTCACACTAATCAAATAGAGGAAAATTTCATTTCAACGCTTTGGGTTGGTTTCATCCTCAAGTTCCAAAGTTCCACTGGAGCTTATTTCTTCTGTTACTATAATGATTCCAGTTTTATGTATCGTCATCTTAGCCCCAAGAGTCATGTGTGACGTACTTTTCAACCTCATTGTGTTTCTATTCTTGTGTATTCAACAACCTTATTTCAACCTCATTGTATGTACAACAATGCATTCTTGAAACGTAACCTAATCAATATGTTAAAAAACTTAAATATATCCAGGCACATTTTGTAAGTTAGTCAATTTCAACTCTCTCTCTCTCCCCCATTCGTTTCTTTTCTCCTCCTTCATCACTCTTTCCTCCTCAACCACTCTTCACCGTCCCCCCACACCCCACCCACACCTCACACACACCCCTCCATCCCCAGATTAGCCGAACCATGAGACTAGAATTGTTTCTAGGAGATAACAATTCTAATGATACTGGGTTATTCCACATGGCATGCTATGTGTTCTGTACAGTTTATCGAAGACACAGCTTTCCAAACAAAAAATATCTAGTGATAAGCACAAGGTAAACCAGAACATCTTGGGAGGACTTGATAAAGAGCAGATATTAAGCCAATAACTAGGGCAATGTTTCCAAGTTTACACCATATGTACTGCTTTGCTTAGGATAAAAAGGTATAAATGTATTGCACACACACAAACACATATAATGAAAGAAGACTGCAGTTGTTACCTTCACTCTGGCTAAATCATGAGGGTTGAGCACAGACCCTTGATAAAACTCCACCTGAGTGAAATGTCTCTTGAAAAGAGCTTCCAGCTCAAGGTTAGGGGAAATACTGAAGGAAACAAGATGGCAAAGGTGTTGATCAATACATTATATAACAATACAGAGATTACACTAAAGTGTACAATACAATGCAATCCTTAAAAGAGCAGTCTACAGAACCTAAATTCATATTTGACCCAATTTTCCCAAGATTCTTTCAGATTCTGGTAGTCTAATTCCTACCTATACATTTAATTGCATCAAATAGAATAGAATATAAATTTACAGGGCAATAAAGAATACAATTTCAGTAAAGTGGACTGCATTTCCAGAAACTATTTTTACATGATGTACTTTTATTTGTAGTCTTCTTGTAGCTTTGGTGTGTGGTATAATCTGCTCAGTAAATAGCAGAAATAAATTTCACACAACCTATTTTATGAATTCCCTTGTGCCCTTAATGTGCTCACTTGGGGATTTACTTCAAAACCAAGCCTAAAACTTGCCGATAAATATCAGGGGCCTGGGGGAAAATTACAGTATATATACATCATTAATTTAGTAGTCTGTCTTTCAGTCCAACGCTCACCACCAACACAGGCAGGATGGCCTATATGCCTTCCAAGATGTAAAATGTCTACCAGTCTATGTGTAGAGATAGATTGTTTTGGGGTATGAATTATTTGCGGGGTGCCGTGCCTTGTGGGAAAGCGGACAAAGCAGAATTATTCATTACTTCACATAATTGTTCTCCACATTTCAGATTAGAAAAATTAGCAATTACAGATGCTGTTGGGTGTAGATTGCAACTATCCCCTGCTGTTGTGTTACTCCAGCAGAACCGAAGATTGGAACCACAGGTAACAAATCAAATTATCACTGCTCCCATTAATTCAATCTTTGCTGCTGGCCAACATTAGTCACAACAACATGGCAACTTAAAGTCTTCCCAGATTTAATTCTTAAATTGAGATAAAGCAGTGACTTAATTATGAGACCATAACTTTGAAAACTGTTTTAACCCATTGATAATACTTTCTTCAAATGCTCAGCCAGAGAATACACATTTCCTCAAAATAGATTCCTTTACTTACTGAAGTCCAACACCCACAGATCGCCAATGCTATCAAACTTTTCATTCTTCACATCTAATAGGAAATCTAGTTATAATAAGGGAAGGTTTGCTCGCATCAGCAAACCTCGTTTTGAGATTTACTCAGGGACAGGATGCCAATGGGTCACCAGCTCATTTCATATGATTCCACTATCTCTGTCCATCCTTCTTAAACTGCTGGTAAAACAGAGCATAGCAAGATGGGCATCTTTCTTTATTTTGTAAATTGCTCCCTCTCTGTTTCTCCTAAAGGCATTTGACACTTGTCGTCCTGTCAGCTACTAGGACCCCACCCTGTTAACTATTATTTATGAGAAGTCCTGGACAGTTTGGCAGTTAAAATCAGCAGATTATTTGGGTCTTTGGAAACTCCTGTAAATTGGACATAGATAGTTTAATGTCATGTTCTGAGAGCATTGGAAAGAGACAAGTATGATAATAGAATAGAACCTTTTGTGAACAAAATGAATCAAAGGAAATGAAAGAGTGTTCAATGAATCATGGTCTCTGACTTGGCGGTACACTCTGTAAATCAAGCTCTTTTACTTACTTATGCAGGAAGACGATTTCCACGTTTACATCATCCCTGTCCTTGTGCAGGAAGTCCTTTAGAAAGTTGGAGACGCTCTCAAGTGTAATGTGTCCACAGACCACTATGTGCCTGTGAAAGTGATATCAGACCAGATCAACATCGCAATGTTACAACTAAAGCACATACATTCTCATTATTTGACACACAAGATGATGAGTGATGACAGAGTAATGCTGGGGTGATGTGATGCAATGAAGTGACTTTTATAAGCCTGCGTTCATCAGACAGAAGAAAAATCACATTTCCAACCCCGCCACCCCCCCCCCCACCACCACCTCCCATAAGCAGCTCTAACCAACAAGATCAGTCAGCCTACAACCAGTATACAAGCCTGCTTGCAACTTGCAGGATCAATCTCCCTGTTATCACGGTGTGTTAGATCTCCACCAACAACAAGTCTTACTTTTGCTAAACTTGAGAAGATAGATAATGTTTAAATCTACCCAATTTAGAGGACTACAAAGACATTGACAATTGACTAAATTGCTAGTTGACTTCTTCACGACAAAGCATTCAGTATTGTCATAGTTTCTACATGTGACTATATATTGATTCTCAGTCACAATTTACAGTCCATTTCATTTGAAAAGTACAAGGTTTTTCATTCTTAAAAACGCAGTCGATTTTTACTTATTGATTAGTGAATGGGGAAATGGATGTCAGGGTGACAGCATACGCATGATAAGGTGCCATATTAAATGCAAGGATTATTATGATGATGATGATGTCAGGGCTTGTAACCAAGACATTGATCACTTTCTCTCTGATGCATTGCCACTTCTCTGAAATGTCTCTGAAATAAGATTGTCTGCAGTTTCATTTCTACTAATACACCGGCGTCAGAAATGTCCACTTTCCTAAATCAGAATGGTGGTGTAAAAGTTAAACACTGTTACCCAGAGACATTGGTGCTGTCTGTGTGTGTTTACTTAGGGTTCAGTGCAGCAGATTCAACAATGTGAAGCCTCATCTTGCGTTGAAACTGTCCCTTATCTGCACGAAAATAAACACAAACCCTGTGGTCCACAGATTGTACTGGAACCGATCACAAAGGCATTCTAAATGGGACAAGAGCATAGCAAACACAGCATTTTTTTCATGCTTCACAACCTGTCTTCATTGCAGACTTCATGTCAAGTCTGATATGGAAAAATCATTGTCAAATTTGATGCAAATCAAATGCAACATTGAAGTTATTGAAGTGAAAAAAGTACTGTTCGTGTCAGAAAAGCAGGAGTGCAGATGGATATGTAGGGATTAGTCATTGTCTAAAGAAACAGACTCGGAGTGAGTTACTGATAAAACCATTTGGCCCATCAAACCCCTCCTTTCACAGACTATGTAAACATTAACCTTTGTCATTCTCTAGACATGACATCTCTGATACACTGCTTACCAGTCTCCAAGCTCCAGATCACCCAAAATTTCACAGTCCATGTTCTCTCCCGCATGAGAGTCTGAGAGCCCATCAACCCCATCCTTGCCCAGCTCCACTAGGTCCCTAACCCCAGGAGTATTGACTTTAAGATCCTCACCCTTCCCATCAAAATCTTCCCTAACCATATCTATGAGATCACTTGTAATCCTACTCCCATGCCCACTCAGTCCACTATGCCAACATTGGCCCTCTTCAAGGCTCTGACCTTCTCACCCCACTATCATCAAATTAATTTTCAGACACTTTGCCCCTGGTCTTTGGAACTTTCTTCTGGAATTCCTCCATCTCTCTCGCTCCCCCTCTGCTTTTAAAATCTAGTTATCTTAAAAACCTCTAACTGCACCTTTAGCTACCTAGCCCTAACCCTCCCAAACCTTCATATTACCCTCCAAGCACAGACTCCCACTCTGCCTTTGTGAAGTACTTTGATACAATCTCCAACATGAAAGGTGCTATGTAAGTGTAATCAATCTTCTGGTGACTCAAACCACCCACTCCATCTACCAGATGAAATTTTGCCTTCCGAAACTAAGAGATCAAATATAACCGAGTTATTCATTCACACCACACGCATATCCAAATTGGCTAGATAATCCACATGCTCCCCCTCCCACACATACACACACTAGCCTTGGCAAACCCTTGAAAGAGTTGAAATCCCACCCCTAAAACTACCCAATAAAATTCCTGCTTCACAGGGAAGCCCATTGCCATCCTCACCATCATCATACACACAATCTTCCTGGAAGAGATCACCATACGGGTGTCAGAAACAGGAACCTTGACCAATCCCAGGAATGCTGTGGCTAAATGTGATCTCTGGGCTGAGATCAGGTAAATTAGACCACAGATTATAGATATGCAGATTATCTGACATAAATCTCGCATAACCAAAAGCACAACCTGCTGTGTCTGCACACCACTATCCCAGTCATTTATTTGTTGAAGTCTGGAATATCCAATGAGCTATTTGTCCTTACATGACTCGATGTATTCTGGCAGACAATACGCAAAAGGTACTCAAACAGCAAAACGATTACCTCATTGAACTAAGAGGCTTCAGGATTTGCTGAGCCAAACAAGTACAATAGAGTTCAATTGACATGTGGATAATGCATAGTGCAATGTGTTAAGTGTATATACGCATGCAGTACTTGTTTACATTTCTGAGGAAACCTGACTGTCAGTGTCTCTGGCGAGTATGAACTGGCCTGTGCAAACCATTAAATAATGTGATTGTTAATATCATCCACTATCTGAAGTGATCTCAAGCAGCCTGCTCTCAGCTCCCACTGCAGAGTTCAATAAAAGGCTTGGCTAATAGAAGATTTGGCAAGAAAATTTGGTTCAGTAATTTATTCATTTTATTGAATTCTGGCTGCAATGTCAGTTGATAGCTCACTGCTGGTTCTTGGATTCTGAAACTAGCAGTCCATTCTAACTCTTCACAATTATTGGTCACAAGTCTAATATTGGGTTGGAATCCCATGGGCTGGAATTTTGTTCAATGTTAACGCAAATATTGCCTTTAGCAATGCCAACTATTATGGGGAAATTCCATTAGTGCCTCACAATGCCGAAGCTGCTCCAATATATGTGTATTGTTGTACAAACATTTCTGCACACAAGTGAAGTAACTTGACCCCAATAAAATGGAGCCATTCTGCCCTGGATGTAAATATCATAGGGGTCAGTAAATAACTATAGTGTTGATATCTAATGCTGAAGATCAATATGTGTTATATTGACAGCCTATCCAGGTTGCCTGCCAGTGAACCTTCCTGGAGTGTCTAATTGGAATGTCAATCAGATATTGGTTTTGTAGCTACTGTTTGCAGCCAAAATGCACTCTGCACCATTTGGTATCCTATCTTCCATGCACCAGGGACAGCTGTGCAATAATCAATACATGGGATCATTAGTGGTGATTCAGCTAAGTCAAGAAAAGGATTACATTTAAAAAACCATACGCAATTAATATATTTGCTAAAACAAGCTACACAATATTTGCACCACCATGGCTGAAAACCTGATATGTTTGAATCAAGGGATTGCTTAAAAAGGAATGCAATAGGCCCCATTTTAAAATGTTTTCCTGCGCATTCACAAAGCCATTTCCATGCGCTCCCACAGCAATGTGGAGAAAATGCTCCTTTGTGCATGTCCACTAACAGGTAATAACACCGACAGTATAAAATGCCAAACAGCCATTAGGGGGCTGGAGCCAATACTGTACAAGCATTTTCAAAATCAATTTCAACAATAACTTATTTTTCCCCCAAGGGGATTGATTTCCAAACCTTTGCAGTCTGATTCTGAATATGTGATATCACTTAGGTGTCAATGTTCCCATTGTACTCGGATCCTGATAATGCTAAAGTTCAACTCCAGGTGGTGCCTTGTCGTAGATTTCCCGATGGTCAGAAGGGATGGCAATTACATGACTCATGCCAACCTTTTGACTGGCTATATTCCAAAATTACTTGTCAATACAGTGGTCAATAATATGTCTATCAAGCATTTTTTTTTGGTGGTGGTGGTGTGGGGGGGTGCAGGGGAGGAGAGGTGAAGTGTAAGTGATCTGAGAAATGTTCATGGACTGCTCTAGGTTGCCAAGATTAGTCTTCAGTTTCACAAGTGCCTAAAATTCCTGTCAAAACCAAAAATATACCTGAATTTGCTTATTCCCACTAAATTTACAACAGAAATTAGACATCATTCAAACACATTTTCAACTGTATCATAGAGAAGGCAAACAAAAAGATACAGAAAGCCCTCAAAATAGGAAAACCCAGGGTTCCAGTAATGACCGTGCAAATGTAGCCATGCAGCAGAGATCCCACAGGGCATACAAGTAAACAACAGCTCCAGCATCAGCACCATACCTTTGTCTACTGCTCTAATCCTTTGCCTTTGCTACCACTGTCATTGTTCAAGGTGCAGTGCGTGGCAAACCTCTTGCCTACCTTTGCCAGGCACTACAATGTCACAACTGTTTTATTCAATGGCACATTGCATCGTGAGATAACAATCTGATAAAATAGCTCTGGCTGTTTCAACCCTCCCCTACCCCTGTGATCACAACTGTGCCTCTTCAGGATTTCAAAAGGTTTTCTTAATACAGCTGAAAGAGGAGATGCAGTTTCTTCAATCAGTGAGTCCCATTTACTGTCATGTGCGTAACTGGTAAACAGCTAGACTGGGTTGGACTCATGGCAGTTCAATTGCATAAAATGATTATACGTTTTATTTCACTGTCACTCTCAGTTATTAAAAACGACAGCTAACAAACCAGGAACCACAAGCTATTTTAGTTTTTGTTTGGACACTGCCCTTGTGGGAAAATGAAGGTTCATGTTTAGTGTTGGATATTAAAATTAGACAGTTGGAAAGTTTATAAAATGCCATTATACATTAACTTTTTTTTCTGCATTAAAAAAAATCACTACATCTGAAACAATGAAACTCTAGCCAGCTGCCACGGCTACTGCCAGAAGACATATTTGCCAGCTGTGGTAGAAGCAATGTAAATAGCTGGATATTACTACCACAAGGACTTATCGACAAGGCGGGGAGCTCTGACAACGGATTCTCTCAACGCAAGATTGGAAACAAAAATCAAAGTGTTGGCCAAACATAACATCTCATCAGTCTAAATTTTCTAATGGGAAAAACAACACTAAAAAACAAAGGATGCTGACTTTCACGTTGCCTTTCACATTCTGGTGAAAAGCCTAAACCAGTAAAGTTCTTAAAAAAAATTGCTTTGATCATAACTTAAGAGCTGTAGATAGGGAATTTTATCTCCATCAGGCTTTCCATGTGCTGATGAAAGAGCTGAGTTTCAATTACGGTGGGATTGAAAAATCTGAGGTAATCCACAGAGACAACATGAAGCAGAAGCAACAAACATTGACTAGGTACGAACAAAATGCCTGCACAAGCAAGCAAGCTACTTGACAGAGACTGTGAAGGAAGCCAATAGTATTTTGGAACCTACAGTCTGGGAATTGTGGCCTTGAGGCTTGGGGATTTAACTGAAGACTGGGGCCAAGTTTTCAGGCAGCACATTATCGAAGAACTTAACTTTGGCGACAGACAAGAGTCTGGCAAATTCTCATGAAACTGTTGCCATGGAAGAGTCACATGAATCTTAATGAAACATGGAGAAACTGCATGCAGGAAATGAAGTAGACAAAAATATCAGAGCAATGGAAGAATGGATTGGCAAGGTCAGAATAAACATTAAAAAAATAATTATGGGATCTTGCAATAAATCAATTTGATTGACACTGCAAGAAAATTAAGGTAATATTATTGTATTTTTTGTGACTGCCAAAGATAAGGGTAACTAAAACTCTCTGATGGCCCATGGAAAAAGCTGAGAAAACAAAAAAAAGGATTGTTTTTGTTTTAGAAAAGAAAGCAAAGCAATCATTGACGGAAACATGTAACAAACGGGACATGTGCCTCGTCATGGTCTCTGATTACAGTGTGACAATCCTAGCCGTGACGTCTGACGTCATGGTGCAAAACCAAATATTCTCTCTCCGTGGGTCAGAGGTTAATATTCAAGGGTCTAGAGGTCACACAGCCACACCTTGTCCAGTTTGACTTACTTTCTGCCTCGAGTTGATTTATAACTCCCTCCGTATTTCCTCCGGTTAAGGATGAGAGCAGCAATTTCTGGTACGTAGCGAGCAAACATTGCCTACATGCATGAAACAGAAAAAGAGAATGGCATGCAGAGAGTGTTCTACTGCAGCAGAGGCAGTAGAGCCTCATGGGATACTTACTTTCTTCCACTAACCGCACTATAAGAACCACCATATTTCTTGCGGTTTCCTATTAATTCTATGATTTCAGGGACGTAGCTTGCAAACATGGCCTAAGAAGAAGATAGGAGACAGAAGAATAGACTAAAAAGAGAGGCCAAAGAGGGGGAGGGGGTGCTGTGTTCTAAGGTTCAGAAGATATTCTTAAGATCTGAAACTGTAAAAGAATTAGTCAGATCTGCAAAGGAAAAAAAAACTTAGCTCTGCTGAGACTAGAACTCACAAAGTAAAAAGGTGCAGCTTCTAAGAGGGAGGCACTGTTCTTTAGCTGAAGAAACTGAAACTTAGTTTACGATTTGCATTTAGGTTCTGAAACTTCCATTGACTTGTAAAGTTTTTCTGTAGCAGTGCTGCAGCACTGAGTTTGGAAGAAGCTAAAGGCAAAAAAAAACATCCACTAAAACAGCAAATGAAATGAAGGGGATTGGAACAGCTTGTGCCATTTTAGTTTGTGAGATTTAGGAAAATGTTCCATGAAAACAAATTTGACCAGAATAATGTTTCAAGGTTAAACCAAAATCTAAAGTCAGTCAGAGCTGATTGCGTAAACAAGTTCAAAAAGTCTGTTCACAGGTTTCAACATTGAAAGAAAAAAAATCCAAAAGTAGTCAAGAGAAAATTTCTATCTGCCATGTTTTTTGCAACAAACACATTGCCCGTGGAAGGTTGCTTCTAAGAGCTGTAGCTGGATGCGGGTTTTGAATGATTGATGTGGGGAATCATCTAGTTCAATAAGGAGATTTTAGTGTTTTGAAAAGAGTCATAATTGACACAATTTCACAATTAATTCTTATTACTTTTGCGTTTTAACATCAGCATTTATATTTGGAACATCCCCCAAGCAATGCTTAACAAAATCACATTGAGGCCTCCTTAATGCACATAGATTTACAAATAAATACTGCCTTCATTTCATAAGTCAAATAAGTTGGAAAAGGTCACAAAGTGTTATCCTCTGATGGTTGGTAAAATTATTGACCTTTTGTGGCATGAGCTTATAATTGGGAAAATCTTTTAAGTGGTTCTAATGGCCGACCTAGATAGACGGCAAACAGCAGTTTGTTAATGTGAGCTTAAGCTCTTATCATAAAATTGAGTGTGCTAATGTCAATTCAGGATTGAGGCTTTACAAGAATTAATTTTCCTCAAACAATATCTTAAAGAGGATACATGTGACTGCATCATTGCACCAATGATTTGAATGCATTATTCCAACACTTAAACATTCCCTAAAAGTTTTAGATTCCAATATTATACAATTAGCTTCATCTCATCCAGGAGTACAGGCTCTGTAGTGCACCCAAAACCACGTGTTTGTTAGCAGTTGGAGAGGGACATAGAAGGAAACCGCACTAAAAAAAATCTTCTAAACATAATTTTCTTAAAAGAGAACAAATCACATAATGGATTACTTACAGTCACATGTGTACACATACAAAGCCGGAAAATTCAAATCTTATCAAACAATTCAAGTTAAACACAGTTTTCTGAGCTTTCTACATTAACTGAAAGCTTTTTCATAACTACTCTTTAAATGAGAAACAGCCAAAATTCCACTAATTCCCAGAAGATTACTTTAATGTACAAGAGATTAAGAACACATTTAGGTTGCGTAATCCCAGTTTGGAAAAACAAATATTAATTGGGGAAAAAAAATCTGCACTCTTGAACAATCTGAGCACTATCAAAGTTAAGGGCAACTCTACCCCATTCAAAAACTATCAATGTTTGTGTGTGTGTGTGTGTGTGTGTGGAGGGGGGGGCAAACTAATGTTAAAATATGGCAAAATGTCCTAGAAGTAGGCTTTGGTATTCATCATTACCAAAAAAAAAAGTATGATGACAGAACAGGATTTACTTTACAATCCTTACACCAATTTAGCCCCAAATGGAATTTATTTGCAACTTTTATTATTACTTAATGAATCGATGTACGCAAAATATATGACCAGGTATAAAATCAATATCCTATTCAACAATAAGATAGTTGTGAGTAATATTTGGAGAACTTGATTGGTGGCCCTTGGTGATAAAGGTGCATATTTCTATTTCTCATCTTAACGAGTTCACCTAAACTGTTTTAATCCCAAAGTTTTAAAGATCACAGTTTACTTACAAACAAAAATCATCTTAGACCTGCTCTAAACAACTTGCTGCTTGGCTGCTGTTGGAAAGATCCTAGTTCCAACAGTACAAGACAATATTTTGTTTTGCAGCAATCTCAGGTCTGCGGGTATTCCCATATTTAATGGGATTTGTGGTGCAAGTACAAACATGAGGAGGGATATGCTTTTCCTGCTAGTTCTGAACTGCCAGTTTTAAAATTGAAATGATTCTCAAAGAAAGTGAGAGAGATCTAGAAAGTGAAAAGCAGGGGCAGAAAGAGAAGAATTCAAGGAGCAAAATGAAGGGAGATGGGGGATTCAGGGACTGTTTCTACAGGATAGAGAGAGAAAAGAGAGGGAGGGGGAATAAAGAGAGCAAGAGAGAAGGAAAGAGATGGATGGAAAAAAAGGCAAAAAGGGAGAGTGAAAAAAGGAGTAAAAGAGAGGAGAAGAAATAGATGTAAGGAGCAAAAGACAAGCGTTAATAGCGAATCGGAGAGAAACAGAAATGGAAGGAGGGAGACTATACAGCAAATGTTGGACATAGAAAGAGATAGACTGATTGGGTGTGGGGAGCCGTAATATAGACCAGTCTAATGCACTAATCCGTTGGGTTACTGGCTATGAGTTTTCTTTTCATTCTGTATCTAGATTAGTTCTTGATTTACACAGTGGTTCTAGATCTGAAAAATATACTTGGAACATTCCACTATTGACATTTCCCATTGTTGTATCATGGACGATTGGGTTATATCAAAGTCTATAATGTAAATTGTAGTTCCAAAAAAAACAATAACCACGGACTCCAGTAAAATTCCTAACTGTGACCCTGGGGCCAATGTAGGGAGTATCCAGTGTGCTCTCAAAATTCAACATTGGATTAATGTGTTGAAATACATTGGATTGCTCATTTCCACAGTAAGCATGTAGCTCGTGCCAAAGGCAAGCGAAAGGAGTAATTTAAGGAGCCAATAAAAATATATATTTGAACAAAAAGTGTTAAGAGGGTAGAGTTGCCCTTTGAAACAACTTTAAGATTTTTCTCTCCCAGAGGTTAAAATGCTATTTGCAATATAAACTCTGAAATTGTTCTTTTAAGAATAGTACTTCAATTGGTTCTCAATACATTAATGGAGCATTCTCTATGCTTAACTTCGACCCCATAAGCATTATGACACATTTGTATTCTTTACCAATTCCAATTTCAAAAACAATTTTAAAATTACTCAAAACTTTTCTTGAAAATGTATTTGTTTTATCTTCAAAATCTGATTTGTAAATTGACCAACAACCAAATGTGTTTCTATGGCTGGAATTTGACTGTTTCAAATCATAACACAATTACAGAATTCAAATATTATGACGATATATCCAATATATATAGTTTAATCAATAAAATATAATCTGCATAGGTGACATGTAGCAAGGGCAATGGGTGATAACATAAATGGGCTCAAATCCGCTTCCTCTATGCAACACGACATAAACACTATTAGTGTGCCTTGATACTGCCCAGAAACCGTTGCAAAAGTACCAAACAGTAGGTAGATACAAAGGGCCTTCAGCAAAAATGGTCGAAATTTTAAAAGCCTAATTGTAACGGCAATGTTGACAACCCTATAATTATTGCAAATGGTGGATCCAGAATACTCAATGTTGCTCAAGAAGACCATATGGAAATGGAATAAACGCAACCAACAACAACAATTTTCACATTGGAAGAATGTCTCAAACTGCTTTGCAAAGACTGATTGGGAGTCTGAGCTGGGAGAGGGGAAGAGGCAGGTGGATTCGGGTTCAATTAAGAGAAATCGGGTCTCTGTATGGGTTTTGAAAGCACAGAGAGCAGTAATAAGGCAGAGGAGTGTTCCAGCAAGCGGATCAAAGTGACTGAAAATTCACCAGGTGAGGTGGGGGAAGAGCATGAAGCAGATTTAAGGTGAGGAGGCACGAAGGGGAGCCAAACAAAATAGCATTAGTTTTGTAGACAATAAGTGGGAGAAACGCATCCAGGACTTGATGTCTGATGGGCAGTCTGTCAGAACAGTGCTGGTCCTGGATTTGAGGTTGGAGACAGAAAGTTTGAGTTGGGTGTCATCCCCATAAACCACCTGCCTGTGGATGATGTCACCAAGGGAATAAGTCAAGGAGGAAAAGGAGAGAACTGAGGATACTTTGCTGAGGAATCCCGCATATAGCCATGTGGTGGAAGAATGAAACCAGGAAAGCACAGTGGAGAAATGGGTGAGGAGTTTATTGAATACCAATGGTTCTGCAAGTTCTAGTGCACGCCCACAACTTGAGAAATCTCAACATATTGTAATGCCTCGTAAACAGCCTGATAACACCACAGTGCAAAGAACAGATTTTTATTTGCAATAAGCAAGTATTCCTCAACTAAGGAGCAACACCAACTGTTGAAGATGAATCATTGGAGAATGCTGTTTGGCGTACTAATGAACTGTGCTGAAGAGCAGCAGGACATAAGTTTTTATAGCGCCCCATGCACCATCTTTTCAGTTTCTCCAGGTCGTTAAAGGCAGGTTATTTTTGACAAGCAGAGTAGGGAGATTCAAAGGGCAAGTTAAATATATATCTTCACAATTCTCTGTTATGTACCAGCACTGCCTGGTCCCCTCTTTTCTTAGCTTGGTCTTAGGGTCATGTGTATCCTAGAATGGTGGGAGCTTCGGATTTATGTGGCAACCAATCTGATCAAACCTTAATTCAGAGCAGTGAAGAATCTGCCTGGCTCAATTGCTGGTCCTCTCACTCCTGAGACAGAAGGTTGTGTGTTTGAGGCCATGTCAAGATTCTGAATTGGCTCCCAGATTTATCCAAACTACTGCCCTGGTTAACAACAACAACACAACAACAAGATTCCATTTATAAAGCGCCTTCCACGTCAGGAGGACGTCCCAAGGCGCTGCACAGTTGGGTCATGACCCGAGCAGGGGGGAAATGGTCAGGGTGAGGGGAGGGAAGGGAGGGAGCGAGGAGGGGGAAGAGAGTCGAGAGGGGAGCTGAAGGCTCGGTCAAAGAGAAAGGTTTTGAGACCGGCCTTGAAGGAGGAGAGGGAGGAAGCAAGGCGAAGGCACTGGTGGATAGAGTTCCAGAGCCTGGGGCTGAGAGGCTGAAGGCCCGACCACCGATGGTAGGGCGATTGGGGCGGGGGACGTGGAGCAGACCGGAGCCGGAGGAACGGAGGGTACGGGCAGGTAGGTAGGGGGATAGTAGGTCAGAGAGGTAGGAGGGAGCAAGGCCGTGGATGGCCTTATAGGTGAGGATGAGGATTTTGAAATCAATCCTCTGGGGGATGGGGAGCCAGTGGAGGCGAGCGAGGGTGGGAGTGATGTGGTTCCGAAGCCTGGTGCGGGACAGTACACGAGCTGCAGAGTTCTGAATGACCTGCAGTTTGTGGAGGGAGGTGGCGGGAAGAGAGATCCCATAGTCCAGCCTTGAGGTGACAAAGGCGTGGACCAGGGTTTTAGCAACGTGAGGGGTGAGGTAGTGCCGTAGTCTGGCGATGTTCCGGAGGTGATGGAAGGCGGTGCCAGTTGTGGTGCGGATGTGAGGGAGAAAGGACAGCTCAGGGTCGAACAAAACGCCGAGGTTCCTGACTGGCTTTGAGAGGTGGAGAGTGCAGCCTTGGATGCTGATGGTGTCGGCGCCTGAGGTGCGGAGGCGCTGACGTGAGCCAATCAGGAGGGCCTCAGTTTTTCGCACGTTGAGCTGAAGAAAGTTGTCTCTCGTCCAGGACTCGATGTCGGACAGGCAGCTGTCAGGACATCGGTGGTCGTGGAGTTGAGAGTAGAGGAGGAAAGGTAGAGTTGGGTGTCATCCGCATACATGTGGAAGTTAACTCCATGTCTGCGGATGATGTCACCAAGGGGGAGCATGTAGAGGGTGAAAAGGAGGGGACCGAGGACAGAGCCCTGAGGGACACCACATGAGACAGTGCGGGGGGTGGAGGAGAAGCCATTTGTCGAGACAAAGTGAAGACGGTGAGAAAGGTACGACCTAAACCACTCAAGGACAGTGCCTTGAAGGTTGAGGTGGGAGGACAAGCGGTGGAGTAGGATAGCGTGGTCGACCGTATCGAATGCTGCCGATAGGTCGAGGAGAACGAGGAGGCAGAGGGAGCCCTGGTCACAGATGGTCAGGATATCATTGGTGACCTTGACCAGGGCAGTTTCTGTGCTATGGGCAGCACGGAAACCTGACTGAAGGGGTTCGAAAAGTGAATGGGTGGAAAGGAAAGAGCGCAGTTGGGAGGCGACAACTCTTTCCAGGACCTTGGAGAAAAAGGTGAGGTTGGAGATGGGCCGGTAGCTTGATAGCTGCGACGCATCAAGGGAGGGTTTTTTCAGGGTGGGCGTGATGGTGGCAGTTTTTAAGGGAATGGGGACAGAGCCAGAGGAGAGGGACAGGTTGACAGGTTAAATCAATTGAGTTATTGTGTGACCCACACAATTCCTCCCTGATAGGGTAGGGGTATAATCACTGAAGCAGCCGAGTCAGAGCACAGGTAATGATGAAAAGTGAAAAATGACTCATCACAGGAAAAAAATATTTTCTAACTATATCTAGTGGGAATTATGTGAACAGGAACGTTCTGTAGGCTTGGCTTCTCCTCATATCAAAGGTTACTATTTTAAAGGAAGAAGAATGTGTAAATGTAAGGTGGTTGGCACACAAAATAAACCAATAAACGAAAAGCATAGAATAAGCTTATTTGCATATTTTAAGTTGAATTCTGCCATACTTTGTTTTAAATAATTAGTGGATTTACCCAGCAATTTAATTACTATTCCATCAATTACATGCATCTTTCAACAGGTCTGCTATTAAGTCACATGTGTAAGTGTCTTTGAAGACTGCAGTGTAAAATACATCTCGCACACATCAACCTGTCTATCAGATTTCTGACTGATTGATAAAGCTGCTTGTGGTTTAGTGCAAAGAATTCTGGATCCAACATTTTTTCTTCATTAAAATAATTGTGGGAAACTTTTTTTTTGGGGGGTGAAGATTTACAAGCTAATGTCAATGATTAAACTTCAAGTGCAAAACACCAATATATTGATTTTTTTCTGGAATTTGTGTTTCTGGAGAAAGGCAGACAAAGGTCTTTTTTCAGTTTGGTTTCAGTGCATCTGTCTCGCTTGGCCTTTGCTTTAGTTCTGAAACAGAGCAAATGGTGTTATCGACAGCAAGTGCTTAGTGATAAATAAAAATATATATTTTACCAAACCCCCGAGGATGAAGAAGACCATGAACAGGCGTCCAAGGGTGGTCTTTGCATAAACGTCACCGTAACCAACTGTGGACATTGTAACCATGAGCAAATAGACACATTCCCAATATGTCAGCGGTTGGGAATTTTGGAAGTTTTCCCAAGGGTCCCCTGAGTTCTCCACCTATGAACAACATGTGGGGGGGAGAAAAAATAGATGAATATAGAAGATTACAAGAACTCTTCAGGCACTGAGCAGCCCATGACAGGGATACAACTGCAGCGCCATCAAGTGGCAAAATACACACATTTCACCAATTTACACACAAAATGACCACAGAACAGTGATTTATTTTGTTTGTGAGATCCAAACAAAATAGGGACGAACCTCTCAAGCTATTGTTTCATGCATATTTTGCAAACTCTGATCACACTACTGTACATTTACTCTAATTTTTACTATGCATGGAACTTTATTGCATTTTAAATCATTTTTGATACAAACAGACAATATTAGATCCAGGTGACTACATTAAAATGTGGTTTCTCAGCATTAGCAATAAATGTTCAACTAAAATTCCCAAAAGCCCACTACTCTCCCATAAACTCCATAATATTCACTATCAAATCATTCATGGGAGTGTTTTCAAACCTTTTAACAATGAGGGGTTCAGATGAGTGTTATAAAGTCTTTAAGCTGTCATCTGAATCCCACAACAGGATTGATGCCTTTGAAGGTAATTTTGTTAACACAGACTTACTGAGATTTAATTTTGTACTTGATTTTAATTGTTGAATTTATAGTATTGAATTTTCAAATGAATGACAAAAAAATTGTGGAAAATAAATTTCAGATGGAAATACGGTGAAGACTAAATGATCTGAACATTTGGAAATGAGCTGTCTGCTTTGAGGAGAAAAAAACACTCCTGGATAACTTGTTTTGACAGTGAATTCCATTAAGTACTTACCAAATGTATGAATCCAGCTGCAGTTAGCCATGTGCTTATAAATATGGAGATCAGATTCACGAGCTTGATAGAATTGCTGTTCAAAGGAAGAAATATATTAAATGATGTTGGTGGAAAATGTAGAAAGGTCACAGTGTGTGTGCTTCTCTCCGTGTTTCATAAATTTAAAAGTTTGTGAAATCTTAACATTTTCACTCATCAAAAATGACACTCACATCTTAATCAGTCACAAGGGGTTAGCAATGATACTAACAAAATTCCAGTGTGAATGACCATTCGGATGATCCTCACAGAACACCCTAATGTGACTATGAATAATCAAAGCAGGAATCTCATCAAAAAGTTTTTTTTTTAAAAAATTTATGTTTCTCCAACGGCTTGGGAAATATATCCAATGAGCAACTGAATCATATAAACCAGGAAAAGTGGCAGGTTAGATCTCTGAGCTGTGCAGATCTCAACTGATGTGGCAATAGTAATATTACAGTTCCCTCCCCCAGCATCCCATGGAAATAAGGCAAAAATGTGTTGTATTTCTGCTCATTGGAGTCCCTTAGTGTATTGGTTAGCGCACTCGCTTTGCTTGCGAGAGGACCTGGGTTTAAATCCTGGGAAGGGCGAAATCAATCCACACTATTACCTCGCAGTAAGTAGGAACCCTGTTGTTCGGCGATTGGTGGATCACTTTCTGGGGGTAATAAGCCCTTAAAAATTGTTTAAAAAGCAATAATAATTTGGTCACTCAATCCACGATGGTTGTTGTACACTGCTGTTGGCTGCCGCGTTTCGCCCACAAAGTATACAGTCAATTTACTATAAAATTGTGCAAAGCTGTTTGTCTCGATGATGTGATAAGGAGCTATATCAAATGCCTGGATTAATATCAATATGCAGAGGGCCCTGGTGGAGGTGTACTTCTACGGATATTGCTGAAGAAATGATCAGCAGTGACCTCTTACTGGGGTCAAATAATTAGATGTGTCCACAGATATACAATCGCTACATTTTATTTGAAATCCTGTGACGAGCTTTGCAATGATTATTATTATAATAAAGTAAAAGTAATTTATGAAATAACCAAATGGCATAGCAGAAAGTGAACACCATCACACAATTGTGACACAACACATAGGCTGAACACTTGGCGGGATATTAACCTCTATTATTGAACGAAGGATTTTGTTTTCCCGACCATTTGCTTTGTGATGCACAACCTGTAGTGCTGTGCAAAATAAGGCATAAAGCATCTTTCCAGATCAACAGCAGTTTAAATTCAAAGAAACTATTTCATAAAAATGTACCATGATTTATGACATACATCAGAACATTGCAAATCTCATCAAATGTCATGAAGCTTGAAAGAGAACATTATGCTGCTTCGTATTTCAACCCATATATACTGGCATAGATTTCAATCGCTCCCACTGTGCACAAGCACACTCTGTCTCCAACATTAGGCCCACAAATATACAGTCAAATCACTGTACAGTATATTCTGTGAAGCGCTTTGAGATGCCTAGAAGACGTGAAAAGCGTTATATCAAATGGAAGGATTATTATTATTATTATTATTATTATTATTATTAAGTCCTTAGGGAGAAAGGCTAGAGAGCCAAACATAGACACTTATATACATCCTACTGAGCATCACTGAGGTTCAGAAGGTCTGCCCTCCCCTCCCTCGCTAAAGAATACAGAGAGGAAAATGGAGATAAATTAACGTGGATCACGTTTGATTTCCAGTGGCGTGCAGAACGCAACCACAGCAACACTATATAGGTACTATTTCTGACTTCAGGACTCCCCAGGTTAGGGAGGGGGAACCTGGTGACGAGGAGTCTTCACTCAATACCCTCGGAGTGGGAATAGCCTGGGTAATGGTTTGCACTAGATCAGAAGCTGCAGTAACATTTGTTATTTTGTTTGGTGTAGGTTTTGAGGGAATTAAAGAGTAGCAATGTGCCTTTTCTGCCATGAGAACATCATACAAAAGTGACAAAACAATACGAAACAAAAGAAAATATTATTCTCAATCACTTTTTAATCAAGCTATGTGCTTGAGTATTAAAAAAGGTGCCATGTAGGTCCACTGAATGTACAAATGTGAGCTGCACTACGATACCAAATGCTCTGCATTCTGTTGATTCGGTTTCTTTGTCTCTGGCATTACACGTTTATAACTGGTGCCAACAAAAATGTTTATGCTCTTGTCTGTTGCCATTCTACTGCCACTGAACTTTACCCAACATGAAACTGTTTGTGGTTTGACTATTGTTAGTCAAATGCATCCAAGATTATGCATTGGATCTACACTAGTGTGCGCTATTAGACTAAGACAGTGATGATCATAATAATAATCCTTGCATTTGATATCGCGCTTTTCACATCTTCAAGACGTCAAAAGCGCTTCACAGAATAGACTGTAAAGTGAATTGACCATATATTTGTGTGCGAAAAGCGGCAGCCAATTGCGCACAGCAGTGTCCCACAAACAGTCGTGGATGGAAGCGACCAATTTTATTATTGTGGTTTTTTTTCTTGAGGGATGTAGTTCCAATGCATGGATGTGGGGGATGGGCACATCTAGCGTTTTGGGGCAGTGTCTTCTGTTTGGCATTTTCCCCTTGATATCTTGTCCTCATAAATTGCTTTCAAACCAAAGGAGAAATGCCTAGTGTTGGAAGGCACAAATGTCCCTGGTCCAGGGCCATGCTGTTGCTAGGGAATTGGGCAGTGCACAGTGTGAGCAAGAAAGAGGATAGAAAATAACAAAACAGCCATCATTACAACAAATAACTTTAACTTGCCAGCATCAGTTTCTGAACGATAATACAGTTGACAAACACAATTTTGTGAACTTTAGCAGTAGACATGTCAACATGAAGATCTGAACATGATAATTTATCTCCAAGTTGAATAATGACATTATCCAAAAGAAAATCAAAAGACTTGAGTAACCACGGGTGGTGTGTTAAGAAAGGGCAGTGTCTTCTGTTTTCACTCATTCTTTATTAAGAAATCCCATTTCAAAAGGAATTATTGCACAGCAGTCACCAGTTTACTGTCCATTTTCAGCATTCAAACATTTGCAAGAACCCTGAAGCCTGTGACTATCCCAATTTTCTTCTTTAATAATCAAGGAAACTAAACACTTACAATATTGTCCAAAGATATCTTACCCTCTATTTAACCAAAGATAGAATAGAAAACATTTGCAGACTTTAAAACTGAAACCCATCCGTTCATATTATATGCTGTGCAACAAAATGGCAAAAAAAACATCAAGTAGGATTAATATACCTCACTGCAAGGTAGAAATTGAAGGATGACTGTACCTCACTGCAAGTTAGAAATTCACCCATCCCAAAGGCTCAGTGAGTTTATTCAGTGAGTAGCTGAGCCAAATCAACTAGCGAAGTTCCTGGGATCGATCCCTGTCTGCACAGTTAGCTGATCTTAGCCAATCACTGTCCAGTGGACCATGTTATGTATATGCCAGGCAAGGAGAATATTGGCCCTCTGTGGTCAAATAGTCTGCCGACTCAACAGGTCAAGATTCACACAAGAAAAATGGCTCCTTGATTGGATCATCAGAGGGCAACCAGCTCCCACAGAAATATAAAGGAATTAAATATCTCCTTCGGGGGAAGGGGATGGGAGGAAATTTGAGAAAGAAGAAAAACATTTGAGAAAAAAGAAAATGTTTCATAAATCTCCCAGGCAGTAAATAAAATCCATCAAAGGCAACAGTTGAAAGAAATGAGCACTAAAATACCATTATGATCAAACCCATTACAACAGATACATGGGGGAAATCCTTTCTAGGGCACATGATTAAGTAAAACATTTTATCAAGCAACATGCTTTAATTTTAAGGAATACTGCACACTCCAATATTTACAGATATCAATTCTAGCTGGCATGAAAGTATGTTGATATGTATTAGTGCCTGTGTTCCACTTTGAATCAGAGGAACGAAACACGGCCAGGGGATTAATCAGGGCATATTTAAGCTCTTTGACATCTGTGCATCGCTCTAATTCTGAGAAACGTCTCAACTAGTCCGACAAATATTCCAATAAAATGATTGCTCTCCAGAGTTGCTTAGTAAAGAGTGAAACTGTACATCAATTTTATGTTATGAATGGCTAATCTTATCTGCAATTTAAACCCCTTCTACTATCTATTCTGCAGCATGTTACTGTGTTGGTGCATGTCACTTATTGGCATCCTGAGGCATTGATTCTACCCTAACAGGCTTCTGCTGTGTTAAATTCAGTAATGAGAATTTCCATACTACAAAGAGGGTGAGACCTCCACTTGGTAACAATTTCAGAAAATCCGACTTCAAAAGTTACAAACAAGCTTACTCCTGTAAACCATTTATAGCTCGATCAAATGCATCTAATTTGCTAGAAGTGTTTGAAATATCAAGTCACGCATTGGCTCCTGCTATAAAATGAACATCTGTCACTACACTGGAGATTATTCACAACAGTGGCATTTTAACTTTATTGTGAATTAACACAATAATCCATCATGTGCGAGACTGACTGATTGTCATGCAGTCTTCCTTGCTCCAAATAATGTACACAACATGAATGGGATACAATCTTCCATGATTTATTTGCCAATAAATCAACTGTACCATATCTACATGCTTCAAAACCTAATGATCAACTTCAATAAAGAGAGTGAAATAAATAAAATTCTCCTAAAATTTGGCAACGTATACTTCTTAATATTTTTCTATAGCTGAATTCTTACCAGTAAATTCTAAAACCCTCAAGAAAGATGAGGGAATCTAACTGAGAAAATTAAAGATGCTACAAAATATACAGTCACTACACTTTACACTAAATTCTGTGAAGCACTTTCAGACATGAAACCAAATTAAATGCAAGGATTATTATTATTGTTATGTATTCCATGCTTCATCAATAAGATTAATTGATTCTTAGTTTCACTTTGATACTCTGGATGTCATCAGCTCACAGATACATTCAGTTCTACACTTTTGGGCTCACAATTTTGTCAGGACACAGTGGAGGTAATGATGTTTTATTGATGATGTACGAAATTCTGTAGCATTTTATTTAGTGTAAAATATTATGTGACAGTGCCGTATAAACCTTAATGACACTCATTTAATTACTTACTTATGGCCAGAGTAACTTTACAAATTCCGTCCCTTTAATTTGCACTAAGACAAGCACATTTTTATGACTGTTGCAGCTGACTCTAACGTTCTGGAAGTATATCTTATATTGACCAAACATGCCAGTTTTGAAAGATCTTGCACCAGGAACTTAAACCGGGAGCTCTGTCCTTAGATCTTCAGTCTAGAATGGAAGAGAATAGTGGCTCCGTTCGGATCCATTTTTTTCCTTCACATACTTTTCATGCAGTGTGGACAATGCAGTATTTCTCTGCACAAGTGAACATTAAATCGCATTGTTATGGGCTTGCTCACAGCAGAAGCCCCCAGACAGCAGTAGAATAACAGCAGCAGAGATATCAAATTTAATCTCAGCCATCGACTCTAGATGATGTGATGGTTTGATAACTACAGTGTCGACAATTATGTTCAGGTCAGTGCGTACTGTCTACACAGAGAGGGAAATGCTAGTTGAGAGCCAAGATGTTTGACAGGTTATTAGCTATTTGGGCTGTTTTGCTCTGTCACATTAGTTTATATCAACTGTGATTTTGCGCTACAAAACTTCACATACAACAATGCAAATGGTTCACCAACTTAAATAAAATAAAACCATTCGGGAAACAAAAAAAACTTGTTATTTGAGGCTGACCAAGCAGAGTGTTAATATATACAGACAGCTGTGTTAGATCGATGTAAAACCCTGTCTTTGTGTCACCAGAGGCCCTAATCTTGCCTCATAATCTCACGAAGCATTTGCATGACACGACGTGGAGCTGCTCGAAGTATAATAATAGTGGTTAGAATCAGGCAGGAAAATTGGTGGCGTTAATAAATAATACAAAACGTGACAGCAAAGCCTCAACAGGACAACCTGTAATGAAGTAAGCGGGAAGTAAGCAACAAAAAAAAACGAGGAAAGGCCATTTGGCCCTTCAAATCTGCTCCTATCAATCATATATATTCTTCTCTGTCACAGAATTCACTCCAATCCATCAACTCTTAGGAGAAAGTGCTTAGACTACCTCAATCCCAATAATGAAAAACATTCAAAATATTAAGATGTATCCTCATGTACTAAGTGAGTTAAAAATTCTGACTAGGGGCTTGAACCCACATTCTTCTGACCTCAGAGGTAAGTGTGCTGCCAACTAAGACAGATCGACACCTATCAAAAATAAAATGCAAGGATTATAATAAAGTGTAGAATGTGCATTTGTAGGTAAATACGACAGCTAATTTGTGCACGGCAATGCCTGACAAACAGCCATGAAGTGAAAGATCAATTTTATTTGGGGGATTGTTGGCCAGCACAGTAGAATTTGTGTAGAATATACTGGATAGAATTTTCAGGTTTCAATTCTTGCACTTGTCCACTCATTGTATATATTTTATCTTCACAATATTGCATTATTTTCTTTAATCGTAATCTCTTTTCTGAAAAATTCTAATTATAAAGTAGATGGACTAAAGTTAGCCGTACATGTTACGTCAGTTACTCAAACTTTATATCTACCTTTCAATGCTTCCATTTGTGTTATGTGTCATACATAGAATAAATGCATAGAATGTTTAATCCATTCCTTAAACCACTGAATTACCACATCTCAATTTTACCCTCTGCACAATCTCTCTCCAAATTACTTGAAAAATCATAATGTTCTGAAAATTACTCACAACTCCCCTTTTGAAAAAAAATGATCATCAGCACATCAGATCAAAAACAAAAATGTGCAATTTGGATTTTTGTGTAGGGATGCATTTAGTTAAGTGTATTCAAAATACATATTAATGTGCATGAACTCTTTGAGGTAACGTGTCTGGCATTGTAAGAAAAATTACGTAACAATGCAACCACTAAAATCACATCACTGTTGGTGTTCAGCGGTAATAAGGTTATTACTAGTCAATGCAAATTTACAAGTACCAAAAACACTTTACAAGAGTTTACACTGGAGCAGATCCATCATCTGCTATAGTGCAAAGCCTTCCTGTTAACCGATACAGTCGGAGTCCTGTAGCTCAGTGGTTAGAGCACTCACTTTGCAAGCGAGAGACCTGAGTTCAATTCCAGGCAGGGCGAAACCTTGGGCAAATTTCCTTACTCCACACGGCTAATAATAATCCCTCCAAAACCAAAAACAATACTAAATTGGTCATTTTCAATCTACGACTGTTTGTGGGACATTGCTGTGCGCAGTTGGCTGCCGCGTTCGCCCACAAATATACAGTCAATTCACTTTACAGTGTGTTCTGTTGAAGCGCTTTGGGACGTCCTCCCGACATGAAAAGTGCTATATCAAATGCAAGGATTATTATTATTATTATTACAGAGGCTTTGGTGTGGATGCTTTTAAACCATATTATTCATAGGTCTTCTAGGAGTTAAGCCTAGGAGTTAAACACAATTATCTCCTGTAAGTACATTTAATTTGCATGGTGCAGAACCCACTATCTAAAGAATTATAGAATTTTTTTTAGATAGCATAAGAACAAAGGAAAACATTTGAAAATATATTGGCAGATCCAATCTTGCTATTGCAATGGTAGCAATATGTGCAATTGTCATCAATTATGAAAATAGATGATTGCTGCTGAGGTTGCTTACCTTGTTTTTAGAATATTCAGAAACTGTAAAATTTCTGAAAATTGTATCAGCCTCAGAGCTCTTAAAAATCGTAAGCCTGTGAAAGAAACAACACAAAAAGTTATTGGAAAATCTGACATCTCATAAACCATTTACAAACATTAAAACAGGAATGACATTCAGAATTACTGGAGACACAAACACAGGTTAAGAGCTTCTGTATACAGAATAAGAAATCTATTAAGATTACTTCTGATAATATCACACATTTTAACTTAGCTCTGAAAATAGATTGCGCTGGGATGCAGTTTCCCCAAGTTGGAGTAAAGTACTTCTGGTTTCCTTATTAAGGAATCACATTAAAAACAGCTGCATATTAAACCCCAGTGTGATAGTTATGATTTGTGACATCAACTATCATCTGGACTGATGAACAACAGCATCTGCAGTGTGCACACACTACAGAATGTATAACGTTTTAATAGCCCCAATTCTTGGTGGCTTCAAATACCCTGTTAAAACAGAAACTCAAAAATGTTAAGGTTCCGTAACACATTTCTGAATGCCTGAGGTCTAGGAATGAATCACAAACTGTAATCCCTGTCATCATTACCTCCCCTCAAATCAATGCTAAATACAGCAAAACACAAATAAAAACAAGCTAGATCTGAAATTATTTGAGAAGAAGAAATTGGGAAAAGTTGATACGGCAAAAGAGCTCATTCAGTTCACAGGTAATTTCTTTGACGCACATATTTGGGCAAACCTCCTCCACTGTCCCTATTCAATCATAATTTTCAAGTTTATTTCTTTCCAGATATAATCCAATACTAACGAGATTACATCTTAATACCTTCTCAAATCTAGTGTATTTTATCTTTTCCTTAAATCCAAGATAGCTCAACCAGGGGACTAAATCCAAAACCAGAACATTCGAGTTCGAATCCAATCAGGCTTACTTAGAGATTCATCAGTTAGAAGGAGATGGTGCAATCACGATATCCCTGGGCCAAGACTGGCTTTGAGGAAGTATACCGGCAAAGCTAGTCAGGTTTATCTTAATGTCAAGTACTATTGGAATTTAACAAGCGTCTCAGGCACATGAATAAGAATTGAAAGTGAAGCCATGTCTCAAGGCAAGTCAAATCCCCAAGGGATAAAGTGGCCCTATCCTGGATGCTACATGATTTACCTTTTTTAAGATAACGAATGATAAAATAAAAGGGCAATAGCAATAGCTGTTCATCTGGAATTGTCACAGAGATGCAACACTGATTGGGTAAATACCCCAAAAGAATATACAAGTGTCCGTAGTCAATGTTACTCTAATTAGCTGTCTGTTGTACATAAACATTTTTCAAACTTATTGAATGGGAATAGGCTACCTGAAGTTTTGTTGATCTTCAAAGATTCCACATTTATCATGCTTATTAAATAAGTGATTAATTCTGATCTTCAATATCCATCAGAATTGCAAAGAGTTGTGGCATCAAAAATTGAGTTTCATCAATAACCATTTTGGATCGACGACAGGAAATTAATCGCAACCTTCCATTTGAGAAACATTGAGAAAGGAAACTGAACACTCCTCAATTTTGATGGTAACATTTGTATTGCCCCTCCTGTAATATCATACACCCTAATTTGGAAATGGGCCTGAAATAGATGCAACAAGCCCTTTACCTCTCATGCAAAGCAATACAAAGTCTAGATTATTAAATGAAACAATCATAAACCAAATTGGTCTAGATTGAGACAGAACTAGCTGAAACAATAATCTGTGAACATAAATACATTAATTTACTACACTTCTGAGACAGTGCTATCTATAAACACGAGATTATTAAAGCAATTAAAATGAATAAGGCAGGGTATGATATCAAGTTTCTATCAAGCTTTAAGATCTTTCTTGAAAAGTTGTGAAAGCAAGATGCAACTCACAAAATCCAGATTTCTAAAGTTTTTTTTTACAAATAAGACCATTCCACACATGTGTGGTAAAAACACACTTTGAAGAGCTGAGTTAACATTGGCCTAATGGATGGAAAAAAATCATTCACAAAACGTTAGAACAGGGCAAGAAAATAACAAACCTTTTCCTAATGTCTTTGTACTTCATATCTTGGTCTGATTACTACCAAAAGTCTTCAAATATTAAGATTGCTCTTGAGAGAGATTACGTGCATGGTTGCTATACTGCATTGTATTCAATTGGAATAAACTGCTGTATGTTATAAATTTACAACTAGAGTCTCCACATTATCAGTATTATGTGGGTAGTTAAATTACTTATTAAATGTGACCATATGACATTGTGTTCTTCCCATTATTTTTTCCAGAATCCACATATAAACATCTATATCAGGGTGTGGGTGGAATCATTAGAAAGTATTATCAACAGTGAGAACTGTGGATGATTTCCCTTCCCTTACTCAGGTCTGCTCCACGTCCCCCGCCCCAACCGCCCTACCATCGGTGGTCGGGCCTTCAGCCTCTCAGCCCCCAGGCTCTGGAACTCCATTCCCCAGTGCCTTCGCCGCCTCCTCCCTTTCCTCCTTCAAGGCCGGTCTCAAAACCTTTCTCTTTGACCGAGCCTTCAGCTCCCCTCTCGACTCTCTTCCCCCTCCTCGCTCCCTCCCTTCCCTCCCTTCACCCTGACCATTTCCCCCTCCTTGCTCCCTCCCTTCCCTCCCCTCACCCTGACCATTTCCCCCCTCCTCGCTCCCTCCCTTCCCTCCCCTCACCCTGACCATTTCCCCCCTGCTCGGGTCATGACCCAACTGTGCAGCGCCTTGGGACGTCCTCCTGACGTGAAAGGCGCTTTATAAATGGAATCTTGTTGTTGTTGTTGTTGAGGCATTGAGGCTACACGTACAATTGATTCAGAGATCAATTAACTCATCACAGACTAGGGATCGAACCTCAATTGTGTCTGTATATTTTCCCTCCATGCCAAATTGGTAAGACAGCTATTATGTGTCAGGTACAGAAGTTTAACCTATTCGGTTCACAGAAGAGATCAATATGTGGAATAAACTCTCAATTTAACAAAGGAAACTCATTTTCACTGGCTACTTGCATGTTCCTTCTACTTATACTTAGTTGGAATAGTGTAAGAATGAAGTCAATTACATAAAATATTCAGCTTGAAATGTTCATGCCAATATTATTTGAAATGCTTGAACATTTTTTTCATGAATACAATGATGCCACTATTTTATGTACTGAATAGGTACAAGGTATTTTTTTTGCAGTCATGCAATTCTGCTTTACCAAACTCCATGCCTTAAACCCAATGCACACCGTTCGTCTGAAAAGTGCACTTTTGCATCTGTGGTTGACAGATAAAGTAAAGGGTCAAGTGTTTGACTCACAGATGAATTGTTCACACATGCATTCCCTTCCCAAATGAGGATGTCATGGACGTCGGACCAGTGAGGTCATTCATCATTGCATGAACTCAAGTGAATAGCTGGAGTTGTGGCAAGACTGCAACTCAGCGATTTACATATTAAAATTGAATTTCAGGTATTTACATATTAAAAATGTTTGGTGAGATGGGCAATAAGCTTAAAATGAAAATGTAATTTGTGTACAGACTCTAGGCCTAGCTGTAAGCTTCTGGTCCTAAATGCAAGGCTGCATTTGTGAAGATCAAACATGTCCACTCTCCACAGGCTCTGACTTCATTGACAAAAGTATCATGTTACTACACATGCAAACAATAGGAATTGGCAGGTGTTCAATATTTGATTTGCAACCATAGGATGTTTCATCAACCCAAGCCTGCCTTGACATTTGAACACTTGTGGTTCAGCTAGTTGAATGTAGTTTGTTTTCAGACCAGCTGAAGAGACCATCATAAGGAGGCTGGGTGCATTTCAGATGGGGAAGGCATTGAAAAGCAAACTTCTAAACCTTTGTTGTTCAAACTACACCTCCTGTAAGATCAGATAGGTAGAGTGATCAAGGATAGTTCATGGCCCATGCCCCCACACACTTTCACCTCACACTCAGGCCTCTCAGGAGAAGAAGTGAACAATAAATAAAACACATAAAAAGTAGATTATAATAATAATAATCCTTGCATTTGATATAGTGCTTTTCATGTCTTCTCGACGTCCCAAAGCGCTTCACAGTAAATAGTGTAAAGTGAATTGACTGTATATTTGTGGGTGACTCGGCAGCCAATTGCGCACAGCAATGTCCCACAAACAGTCGTGGATTGAAAATGACCAATTTATTATTGTTTTGTTTTTGGATGGATTATTATTAGGCTCTGTGTGGAGTAAGGAAACTTGCCCAAGGTTTCGCCCTGACCTGCCTGGAATTGAACTCAGGTCTCTCACTTGCAAAGCGAGTGCTCTAACCACTGAGCTACAGGATTGTTTGATAAAAGGTGCACATTGATCAAAAATACTTCATAACAGCTTAAGCCTTTTACAAACACAAGTTGAGGGGGCAAATTGACCTGTCCTTATCTGATTTCCACACTTGTGTACCACAAACAGGAGTCTCTAGATGGTTGGGAGCAGGAACTACAGGTTGATTTTTCCTTCCCTAACTCTGCTTTAAAATCTACATCATTCTTCAAGATAGAGTGAAGCCCAATAGGAAATTTATAAGCAACTACTGTACTGCGACACCATCTAGTTTTCACCTGAGCTGAGATCAATCGACTCAGCACACTGGTATCACTCCAGGACCAAAGGCGCCAATCATAATGGTCTCTTGCACATGACAAATCTAGAGAATATCACATTTCATATTTTTTTAAAGAAAGATTAGTGTATCCAAAAATTGTTTCCCTATATTCTTTCAAGAATACTGTCAAGATAGTATGTTTCAAGAAAAAATTAGATGGATTTCTGCTGGAAAATAATATCTTGGGATACATTATATAGTTTTGGACACGACATGTCAAGTGACTACCAGGATGATGGAAGGTGAACTTGATGGTCCTTGGTCTTCTTTCTCCTAGCAAATTCTTATGTTCTTATAGAGTGAAGCTCAATAGGAAATTTATAAGCAAATAATATGGGACAAATGTCACTTGGTTGCAGAGTCAAAATTATCAGGATTTCTGCTAGACCTGCG